AAGCAGTGAGGAACTATCTTAAAGTTGGAGCATGCAAATAATCAATTATCGATCAGATAATGGTAAGGTAGTTATCAGTTAGCATCCTCTACGAACTCTCAATCTCAGCAAAATGGCGTTTTCGCTGCAGACTGAGTAATACAGTTTCCAGAGCAGATAGACTTACATGAGTTTACGATATCACAGTTCTAGCAACAGCTCGCAAATGAAGTCCTTCCATTTCTTTGAAGAAGGCCTGTCATTTACAAAAAGCTTGCTATTACAGGTGCTAATTATTATAATAAGCAGAATTCTTACAATTTTCACTGCCGCTCCTCTATCTGCCCATTCAGCGTTTGTCGTATCATCGTCGTGCGGAATGGTAGCCCAAGTTGAGTAGTTATTAAGAAAGTGATCCATGACTTTTACCTGAAAAATGAATCAATTAGCTTACTGAAAACTATTACTAAAGGAACTTACTTTATCCTCGCGTATCACAATTTCTGGAGCAACTCGTGCATTGCAGCCTATTTTGCTGTCGAAAATCGTCTTTTTCACTCTGATTTTCTTACGCATGGTGTGCATCCAGTCATGGTAGAGCGGAATACTGCAGTAAACAACAGGAGTTGAAATTGCAATAAATATCATTGAAGGGAGAAAGAAAATAAATATATCCAAATAGGTTGAATGATCGAATGATCTTAGGTAAGAAAAGCTTATTTTGCTTAATGTTAGTTGAAATAGGCAAATAAGAATAAGAAGCACTGGAGAGCTTAAAGTAAATAAAGCTTTGGAATGATGCAGTGCCACTATCTTGTGGTTTTTATATAGATGTTGGGATATGACCTAATTACTGTATCCTGCCCGCTAACGGTTGTAAACATGAGTTATTGCCCATGGTAACGCCCTCAGGCCCAATAGACACCACTTGCGCGGTGTTTCCCATTGATGTAAGGCGTTGATGCTTCAGGGCATAGGTTAACGGTCTGCTCGGCATTTCTTTGATTTGACTCATACTTCCCCAGGGGAATAAGAGAGTATTTCGGAGATTTTGCGCAAACAGAAGGTAACTGATCTGTCTTTCCTGTATGAGAATTGATTTAGTAGAGGTTTCACTTCTCTATAAGCAAAATTTGAGAGTTTACAAAAAGACGAATTTTTTCCATTTAATAATTTTGCTCTACAAATATCTTCATATGAATGTCTTCACTCGATGGGCAAAACTAGAAATTGGTATCTAATCAGGAGACATTGTAATATCGCATGTCAAGAAACTATAATGAAGCCTTAGGCGTCAGTAAATTTACTGCCATACTTGATGTGTGATTTTCATAAGATATTGTATAGCTATGACGGATAATGTGAAATGAATTCTAGAGAGTATTGCCAAAAGTTTTCATTAGTAGTAAGGTACGATACAGCTTACTCTCAATAAAAACATAAGCATGAGTTTGCCGAAATGATCTTTATATAGAAAGTTCTTGCGAAACAAAATGGGGTATTATATTGATGATAAAATAGGGTTTTGACATATCCAAATCCACATCTTGTTCACAATTGAAAGTGAGCTTTTCGAAATGTTCACTGTCTAAATCTCTATTTAAAAATTTGCAGAACTATTATGACGCTCTTAAATTAGAGTAATATCTTCTTATGAAGTTAAAAAATTTGTTCAACGCTTTCTAATGGATCACAAATGCTGTCTAACTCCAAGATGAGCACAGCTCATACTCAACTCCTTCTAAGATTTAATCGTCACAATTTTATTGTTTTCCGGTGAATAACCAACAAAATTCAAACTGCATACAATGCGGATTGCTAAGAGCATAGCAAGAACGATCGTCTT